AAGGGAACCACAGCAATGAGAACAAAACAGGGGAGTAAAAGGCTGCACCTCAGTGAAAGAGGACACGGTCCAAAAACGAAGCAGAAAGTACAAATACAATGTGGATGCAGGCAAGGAGGGCAGCTGACAGCCTCCACATGCATGCTCAGACATGGGCAAACCCAGATATCACTATGACAGAGAGTCTCACCCTACGAAGGTCTTCTGTGAACTTTCAGTAAGAGTCTCAGGAAATAGAAACATGGTAGCTATTAAAAGGGGAAGAGGGTACCAAAGAGGCTGCTCAGCAGGGCACTGACTGCTCTTCCATCACTCACATGGCTGCTAAAATCCTTCTGGAACTCCAGATCCAGGAAATCTGATGCCCTCTTTGGGCTTCCACGGGTACTGCATGCAATACATAGCCATACATGTAGGTAAACACCCATACCATATAATAGATAAATCCTTGAAAAACATGGTTTAAAGGTGAGGAGTCAGAAGAGACCATGATGCTCCCTCTCACCCCCACACTGCTACAGCTCCTCCCACTGCTACTGGCCAGCCTCAGTCCTGGGGAAGCTTCAGAGTGAGGCACTGGGCAGGGAGGCTGCACCCCCAAGCCATAAGAAGCATCTCTGGCACAAAGGAAACAGAAACAATATGTAATGACAGAATAACTGCACTCCTATCCTACTGTGAACCCCCAAACCTACTCTGAACTGCAAAGCCTGGCCTGCAGAGCAGAGCTGCTCAGTTCTGTGTTCTCTGACCCAGGAACTGGCTTTTATTCCTCAACAAACAGCTAATTCAGGAAGTCAAGAAGTAGGAAGACAAGGAGGGAGGGAAGGAGGGAGGGAGGGAGGGACAGAAGAGGGGAAAGAATAAAAACAAACAAGATGACTTTTAAAAAATACTATGATTCTCTAGTTTCAAAGAAATAGCCAGTTGCTTTTAAAATTATTTAAAGAATAGTATCACGATGTCAATGAAGCTTTAAGGAGGAATGGAAGGGGCACTGACAGAGCAGGGGAAGAAAAAGACTACTTGGAAGATACTGAAGGGAGAGAAAGAGCAGGGAGAGGAGCAAGCAGAAGAGGGAAAGATGGAGGAGGTTGGAGGAGGACAGGGGAGAAGTGGGGAAACCCGAATAACCTAGCCAGGATCTGGGCATTGCCAGCAAGCTTGAGGAAATTAAATAAATAAATGGAAAAGATCTACTATATGAATACAATGGAAAAGAGGAAGACAGATAGAGAGTATTGACAAGAGAGACCCACGATATCCATAGAGAAAAATAATAGAAAGATATAATCAATGAAAACATCCCTGAAATAGAGAATGCTGAATCTTAAGATCAAAGGGGCCCATGAGATCTCCAAGAATCTTATATATAGCCATCACCTTCAAGCTACACCCTTATGAAGCACTGAACTTCGAGGGGGAACGAATGAATCATACAAGCATCCAGGCAGAAAAACCAAGATAAACAGGAGAGAAATACTGCTGGCGGGCCTCACTCCGATCAATCTGTGCAAGCTCAGAGAGAATTACAGCCTAAGAGCGGTAGCCTCACTGAAGTTGTCATTTAAGTATTTAGACAACAGGCAGACATATCCAGAGCATGTACGAATTTTGAGAAAACAATACCCATGAGCCCTTCCTGTAAAAATTACCTGACAGTGAACTTCAGTAGAACAAGAGATCAATCAAAATATAGAGCTCTAGAATGCAAAATACATAGGAAAAAGATGGGTGCTGGGTGGTCATCTTATTCAGTGCAGGGTTGAGATTCCATACTGTGAGGACAGCTGCACAGGACAGTGGGCAAAGAAAGACACTTGCTACCAAGCCTGATGGCCCAAGTTTGATCCCTGGGTCCCATGTGATATAAGACAAGAACCACCAACTCACAAAAGTTGCCCTCTGACCTCCATACACATACCATCGTACATATGTGCCGGCATACTCACTCACAAACACACACATGCACCAAACAAATATGGGTAAGCATAGCTCACATCCTTAGTACCATCACTAGGGAGGCAGAGGCAGGTAGATCTCTGTGAGTTCAAGATCAGCCTGGTCTACATAACAAAATCTAGACCAGCCAGACTTATGTGGTGAGAGCCTGTCTAAAATTAGACAAACATGTAAAAGCAATGGAAGAAATGAACAGATCATCTTAGAAATAATAATGTTACAAAAATTATCAACATAAAAATAATGAAAACAAGACTAGGGAGATGACCTAGTAGGTAAAGAACATTCTAAGAAAGCATGAGGACTGAGTTCAAGTACACCTGAAGTCCCAGTGCTGGAGTCAAATCAGGGAGTTCCAGATTCAGTGAGAGACCCTGCCTCAAAATAATAATAAATAATGATGATAATGTCTCTACCTTCTTGATGAATTCACCAAACTTGGCTCTTGGCTTTATAAGTATATTTTAGGAACTAGGTTCTATTTATGCAAAGCTTAATGATGCCTTCAATTTTTCTTTAATTTTCTCCATCTGTTGAAATTAAGTTAAATTTCCAAAAGTTAAAACAAAATTGAGACCATGCAGTCATCCCATTTTTCTCAGAAAGTCTTCCCCTACAGCTGTCCCAAAGACTCGATGTCTTCCCAAGGTAGCCAGATGAACAGGGCGACACTTTCAAAAGCACTAATGATGCTTCACTCTCCCACAGTTGGAACATTGTTTGATTACAAAATGCTATGTACTTTCATTTTTATTTTATTTTATTTTTAACTGCATTGCTCTAGTGTTTGGAACAGACATGAATTATTTAAAAAGAGTAAAATCATTATCTGATCCTCCATGCTGACAAGGTAGTTCCCTGCTGGGGTGTCCCAACTGTGGTCACATCAGACACAAACTCTGAAGTTCTGGAGTTCTGCGATCCCCTATATTGGAGTGTGAAATGCTCCCCCACTGGGTCCTGTGTGTATTTGAGTATAGCTGGAGGTGCTGTGTGGGGAAGTGAAATCTTTTGTTGTGGGAGACTGTCATGGTAGCTGCTAATTGTCAATTTGACAGAACCTAGCATGTCCTGAGAGACAGGCCCTGGGCATGCCTGTGGAGATTATCTTGATTGCATTAACTCTGATGGGAAGATTGTTCACTGTGGGTGGCACCATTCCCCTGGTTGAGACCCTGAACTGTGTGAGCAGAGAAAGAGAGTGAGAAGAAGCACAAATTCATCTCTCTCTGCTTCCTGACTGCGGATGCTTTGTAACCAACTACCCCCAAATTCCCACTCTGTCACTTCCCTGCCCTATAACCTTAAACCATGAGCCAAAACAAACTTTTCCTTCCTAAGTTGTCTTTGTTGGGTGTTTTATTACAGCACCATAAAAGTAATGAAGTCAGAGACATAGCTGGGGGAGAGATGTCACTGGGGGTAAGCCTCTCTGAGGGTTGCAGCCTGGTTCTGCCCAGATTATCAAGCTACCTCAGCCTTCATGCTTTTCCTCACCAGGATGAACTGCATCTCCAAACTAGCTGCCAGAATAAAGCCTTCCTTTACCAGGTATTGGCCACAACCAACAAGAAAATTAACCAATACACTCGTGTACTATTCTCTGGAGCCTCACTTTGTTCATCTGTCAAATGGGGACAGTAAGAACTCACAGCACCTACTACAGAGGGCAGCTGTGAGGAGCAAGTAAGATAATGATCGGAGTGTGCCAGAGCAATGTCAGTACTTAATAAATGTTAATATTCAGAGTGGCCACCAAGTCTCGCTGCATGCTAATTGCAAGTGATTTGCATGCCACCCTCTACACAGCACATAAATTTACATTTTCTCCACGTTCTTTGGGGAAGAGTTCCCTGATTGTTGTCTTTAGGTCTTCAACAGTTGTTAGGCAGTTAGTTACTAAATGAATAATTAGCAAAGGGCCTGATCGCACGCACAGGGACTCAGCAGCCATTCTCAAGCCCTAAACGAGCACCATTGCACAAATGCACTCTTGCTCCATCTGCTCCTGAAAACGTAACGAAACTATATTCCCTGGTTTAAAGCAGCAAATGTAAGTCAACAGTAGCCACTCACTCGCGGACCAGGCTTTTGCAGGGGGCCAGGTAAGAGGCCAGTAGTGAGTGATGAGGGGCATGGAATCTGCCTCCCCAGCCTTTCGGAGTGGAATGACAGACGTGCCACCTCTGGGACTTTGCTCTGAGACAGGCAAAGTAACGAAGTCAGGCTGAGCTGGAGGGCATCCCCTCACCCTTCCCAGCCTCCTCCCCCTCCTACAGCTTCGTTTCTTCTCCCCTCCCCTCAGTGCCCAGATGCTGGGTGCACAGGGACGGAAGGAGCAACACTCTAGAAGCTGTGCTGAGAAGCAATGGGAATCACAGTCTCCTCCCCTTGAGGTCTCACCAGCAGCTCTGGATTAATCTCTGAGAACAAGAGCTCTTGCTTCCCAGGGCACAACAGAGGCTTTTGATCTTTATGAGATAGACTCCTCTGCAGGAACTTGGTTTTGTGCCTTACTGTCATTGCTCCTTACAAGGTGACTAATAAATAACCCCCATTACACAAACCCAGCCTGCATCCATCATGCCCCGACTGCCGGCACTGAGGGATGATCCCTAATGGGCAATAATAATAGCTCCCATTTATTGATTGGGTGCCGGGTGCCAGGCGCTGGCCGCAGCATCCTGCTTATCTTCTTCAGGGGGAAGATATGGTGCCTCCTCTGCCTGGCTAGCCTGGTTTAAGCTCCCTCTATGGGGATATACCCAGATCCAGTTCCTCGTGGGAGGGGTTCCCATATACCTACACAGTCCAGTGCTCTGTGCTGGACTGGCCTTCCTTCAGGTAGGAGTGGTCAGAATTAAGTATCTGATGGAGAATGGTTCTCAGCTCTTCCAGAAGGCCAATCCAAAGCACACGGCTCTTGCATTTATTTTCTTCATCATTTGACTTGCAATGGAGAATGGCCTCGCCCCATCTCATGTGGTTCTGCACATGTTTTCCCTCAAATCACAACACCCTCTCCACTTTCTTAACAGGTGTGAGTGACTATCAGAGGGGACAACCATGTTAGCTACTTTTGTCACTGCCATGCCCACATCTTAATTCCTGACACAGACGGCTTAAGGTAGGAGAGGGTTCGTTTTTTGACTCATGACTCAGGGGATATTAGTCCATAGTGGGTGGGGGAGGTGTGGCAGCTGTGGGGTGTGGAGCTTGCAGGAGTCAAAGCTACTTGTTGGCCAACAGGAAGGCAAAAGGCTCAGGCCAGAGGCAGGGCTGGTCTATAGCGGATAAGGGCCCACTACAGTGCCCATGAACCACATCCACCAGCCCCACCTCCATCCCCAAGGACTTATCAGCCTCCCCAGTTAGGGACCACATGTTCACATGTGGCCTTCAGGAGATCATTCACATTCCAACCACCATATCCTCCCATTCCCCGCCTCCTGTGATTTTTTGCTGAGATAGGACACATGACACAAGATGGCCAATACCAGGTTTTCCGTGACTATTCTCTTCTAGGATCGCATAAGCCAAAGTTCCCAGGAGCCTCCTTGCTGGCATATAAGAGAGAGAGTAAAGCCCTGTGATGGACAAGGGAGTGACACTGGATACAGCTGTTCCTGACAGCACTTACACTACGTTAATCCGGTCCCTTTCTCACTCACACTCCTTTGCAGTCGCTTTTTCTCATGCGCCACGGCAAGCTGTCACAAAAGTAGGCTAAAGACATTTTCACTGGAACCCTGCCAGCTCGCTGGAGCAATGGGAACCCCAGCTTTATCTCGTAATCAAGGGTTTCTTTGCCAGCTTCATTCTTTGAATATCTACCATATTTCCTTGATTCGAGCATGCTTTCAATAATGACATGCACTGTCAATTTAATTAGAGCCTTTCTGGAAGAAAAAGAAGTAGAAAAACAGAACCCAGGCTAGAGTTGTTGACTATAAGATGTTTCAATTTTGCAAGGGTTAAACCATTGAAGATCTAGGAGTGTAGAAGGCACATACTGGAATCCTGGAGGAGTGGGTTTCCCCCAGGGAACCTTGTAGGAACAGATGGTGTGAAGTAGGGTCCAGGTCCTCCTGCAGCCTCTTCAAATGGCATTGTAATTCCATGCAATTGATCATCTCCAACTGTCCCCTGTGCCGTGGAACATGATGTTCTGAGAGAGATTTCCATGGATACCCTTGGTCCTCTCTGGGTTAGGAGGGGCAGGCCAGGGCCTGCTGTCATTCATGGGACACTGGCCAATCGCTTCTTAGGGCAGTAGAGACAGAAAGGCTACAGCAGGGCACTGTCTCCTACCATCTTCCGTCAATGGATGTCGTACTGATACTGAGAATCATGAGCTGAGTCCCTGCTCGGGGAAAATGATCTCTCAATGGGGAGGCCAATTAGAGGTGAAATGGAGAAAAACCCAAGTAGAAATAAAACCAGACAAAGCATGTCTGCCTCAGAGACCTTCTCTGTTTCAGATAAGAGACACACAGAGAGGGTGAGGGCTCTGCGTGGCCAGCTCCAGAGTGTATGCTCACTTCTGCTTGGGCATTTTTTAGGGTCTCCTCTGGGGTGAAAATACAGAGTCCAGGTTTTAGGAGAGGGTTTTGTGTGGGAGATGGTAATGTCCCCAAATGGTTTGGGTAAGTCAGTAACATGCTTGCTATGCAAGCAAGAGGACCTAAGTTAGATTCCCAGAACCCACCCAAGATACCCAGGCAGGATAGCTAGTTCTTGTAATCCTACCATTGGAGAAGTGAAGCTAGGTGGATCCCTATAGCTTGCTGGTCAGCCAATCCAGCCTTGGTGATTTCTAGACCAATAAAAAGATCCTATCTCAAAACAAACAGACAGAAAACAAGAAAAAGTATACAGCATCTGAGAAATGACATGTGAAGTTGTTCTAGAACACAAACACACACCACACACACACACCACACACACACACACACACACACACACACACACACACACACACACACACGAGCTCACACTCCTCACACCTCGCTGCTGGGAAGCTTCTAGTTCCCTCTACAGCAGAGCTACAGGTGTTGTCCACGGAGCCACCGATGGCTCTGTCACACAGGCTCTGATGTACTCCAGAAATGGGACAGCTGCCATTAGGCGAAGCCTACATTAACTATGTGGCCACAGGCCTGATACCATGAACCAGGTAGGTCCTGGTCTCTGGGCTACAGCCATCCCACCTCATTGGGTCAGCCCTGTGTGTGCCTGACTTTCTGCCTCCTTTACATCAACTGGTACTACAGGTCCCCTGACACCAGAATTTTACCTGAATTTGGCCACAAAGGCTGGGAGCCGAATGAACTGATGAATTCAGGGATTTTTCTTTCATGGTCATTGCCTATTTCTCCTCTGATACCTTAAACCATGGCACCCCTCTTCCGGAGACAAGCATAAATCATGCCTGCTATCTTGGTGACTGGTATTGTCCCTTCTACGAATCCAGTGGTAGGCGTTTGTGATCAAATGTCAATCTGTGACATTTGAGATCAAGGATGGCAAAAGAACCACGCATACCACCAGTCTTCTCATTCAGATTCAGGCAGACATCACTAAGAGATTTCTGCACTCTTCTCAGGGAATCTAGGTGTGACAATCACTCCTGCCTGAGGCTCCCTACAAACCTTGGCAACTCCTTTTTGAAAGGTATTTGTTTATTTTATTTTGTGTGTGAGTGTGTTTTGCCTTTGTGCCTATCTGTGCACTTGTGGAGACCAGAAAGGTTTTCGGATCCCCAGGAATTGCAGTTATGGATGGTTTTGCACCACCATTTGTGAGATGGGAACTGAACTCAGGTCATCTGTGACAGCAGCCAATCTTCTTGCACCAATAAACTACCTCTCTAGCTCAGCAACTCCCCTTTCACAGTCAAGCGCATTCTGAAGCATACTGTAGAGACAGGAACAGTGCACCAATCCAGACGGTGCTGGTTTTGAGCACATGCATGCTAAGGCATACTGAGTACTCTGAAGTTTTAGGAAAAAAAAAGTCCCATTTGCCATCTACAAGAATAAATAAATAAAATGTACTGTATGAGTTCCTTCATGAAAGGGCATTCACACTGAACAAAGTCTTACACAACAAAGGCCTATCAAAACAGGACACCACCCACTCTCCATCCTTTGCAACCACACCTCCTCCTGGACTCCCAACCAGGGGTTCTTAAGAAAAAAAATCCCACTTGGAGCCCACTGTGTCATTGCAAGTGTATCGATTCTGTGCCTTCGTTTTGGGTCCAAATAAATTATCTTTGTGTTCATTTCCTCGGTTCTATTCTTTGGGCAAGACACTAAGAATCTAGAAACACCTGGACCAGCCAGGTGACAGGAGGAACACAAAAGCACCCCTAGTTGCCCCACGGTGGAAGAACAGATACACCCATGAAGTGAGTGCCGGTGAGAAAGGCAAGTGCTGGCCATCAGCCTGGAAACGGAACTTCAGCCCAGTGCCAGATGACCTCCATCAGGGCCAGACCAGCTACAGGTTTCCAGGGCCTCTGCATCTAGTTCAGGAGGAGTAAGGCCCTGTGACCCACTAAAGCAAGTTGGAGACCAAGGTAGAAGCTAAAAGATAACACCAGAGACAAAGCCCAGAATTCCATCCAAGATGATGAGGAGAATAGCCTTACCAGGCTGAGGCTCCCATTTCTCTCTGAGACTTGGATATCCTTGAGCATCAGGTTGAACCTCAGTGCTCTGGAGATGTCCATTGTGACAGGACCACTTGGTCCTCAGGAAGCACTCACATAATCTTTAAGCAACACTCCTCCTGGTCTTCAAGGTACATTCACTTAGCTTTTAGGGAGCACTCAATCTTTAAAAAGTAGTCGCTATGTTCTCAGGGAGCACTATTCGGTCCTAGGAAACATTTCTTCAGTCCTTGGAGAATACTTTTTTTGGCTCTCAAGGAACACATTCATTTGACACTCCAGAAGTACTCATTCAGTCCTTAGGGAGCACTCCCTAGACCACAGGAAGCACACCCTCAATTCTCAGGGAGCACACCAGCGCAACCTCAGTGAATAAAGTATAAATCAGGGCTGTGGCCCTGGTGTGACATTTCTGCTAAGTTTTCGACAGAGGACAGGATAAGGTCAACATCTCAAGCCAGGCCCAGCTTCCTCTGGCCCCTGATGGTGAAGACCGTCAAAGCCCCTCCCCCCAAATTGAAACACCATTGTTCAAAGATGTTACTATGTAGTGCTGGGGAGGAGGGGAGGAATGCGCATATGTTACTGGTAAGAATATTAATCTTTCTAGAAAGCAATGTGAAAACCACACACCAAAAGTCTTTGAAATCATCGTGCCTGTATGGATTTATTCTAAGGAAATAATCAGATGCAACTCAGTGATTTATGTACAGGAATTTTTCATTGCAGCATTATCTATCAGGGAAAAAGTGGAAACAAACTAAATCTTAAGCACAGGGGACTGCTTAAATAATTATAGCAATATAAATACTATAAATATATAGAAGTGTTTTATATATACATATGTACATATGTATTTCTAATTTTATGCACAGATGCGTGGAAGAACAGTATATTAGTTATAGCTATACAGGGGGTCAGATAACAGATGGTTTTCATTTTTCACCCTGTGACTTTATAATCTGCTTCCCCATTATCCACCATGAATGAGTGCCATAATTTGTTAAAGGAAAGACATACGGCTTGGGTGGGAAGCAAGGGAGGCCTGAGTGGATGGGTAAAGAGCCGATGATGTCCTGAGTGAATGAGTGATGCTGACCAGTGCATGTGAAGAACCGAAGCCTCAGATCCAGGAGACACTGGCAAAGCCTTCAGGCTCAGAATTGACAAAGCTTTCTTCCTCTGTCCATATATGAGTGTTTATGAATGATTAATCAGTGCATGCAAAGACTAGCAATTGCAGCTTCCTCCTCCCAGATGTTTACAGCCTGAGATGGCTCACCCATGGACACCTCCTAAGGAAACTGCCCAATCCCCCCTCCCTGTGCTGTACATAATAAACACATTGAGGTTAGTTGGTGGGACACCATTAAAATATGCATAACCCACCCAAACCCAGATTTTTATATCCATGTGTCTGTCATTTCTTTAGTGTCATTGTCCTTTCTTCAACCCCTTGCCACCCCCAGTCGAGGACCAGACCTAAGCTCTGGGGGTAGCATGACCCTGGAGGATGGCCCCATGAATAAAGAGCTTGTTGCACAAACATTAGGACCTGAGATTCATCCTCAGAACCCGCAAAAGTAATCTGGGCATGGTCGGGTGGGGTATGCCTGCAATACCAGCCCTTGAGAGGCAGAGGCAGAAGACTGATGAGACTTGCCAGTCAGCTAACCTAGCAGAATTGACGTATTCTAGGGCAACGAGATCATGTGTTAGGCAAGCTTGTCTTTTGGCACACACATATGAGAGAGAGAGAGAGAGAGAGAGAGAGAGAGAGAGAGAGAGAGAGAGAGAGAGAGAGAGAGAGAGGATGGCACTTAGTGCCTCACATTTATCTTTTTCCTTGTCCCCCGCTTTAGCCTTGCATTACCATGGAAGAAGACACAGCGAGATACCAGGGCTCAAAGCTGTGCTATATTGCCTCCTGCCAGTTAAAGCACTGTGGCTGGGTATAAATGTCAGTGAGTCAACGTGAAGAGATGCTAAGAATATGGCCTGAGTTATGTCAGTGGATTTGGCTGCTGAAGTGAGTCTCTGGTGGCCAGCCACAGGGACCCAGCCCCGTCCTGTCACCTTCCAAGAACTCACCAGAACAAAGCCAGCTTCAAAATAACTTTCTCATCTCACCACACAGATGGGAGGCCTCTAACAAAGTAAAATCTTAATAAGAACAAAAGTGGAGTTAAGAATATTTGCATGTCCATATGTTCATTTACTTGTTGATATTTATTTATATCTGAAAGTATGGTTATCTGTTTAATGTTTCCTCCTTTCTTAGACTGGAAGCTTGGGCGGGATCCACACTGCTCAGGAGTTATCTCCAGTGCCTCTCGATGCCTTGTAGGTAGGGAGTGGGGTGCTAACTACTAGTGAATGCATGAAAGAATGAATGATTGAATGGTAGTTAGATGTCCTTTCAGTTTAACTGATGACTCCGTGGGTCTCTCAGCCAGCCCTCTCATCCCCAGCACAGGGGATGCCTCTGAACCTGGGGCTTCCTTAGAAGCCTGCAGTCAGCTGGGCAGAAGGGGCCCTGACTCCTCCTCGGCCCACTTCATCCTGCCTCAGGACTTTGTTGCCCTCCTCTGTTTTCCACGGAGCTCTTTCTTGCTTTAAATCTAGCCTTGGTGCAGTAACTCAAAATTATAGTCCTCCTCTCCTCTTAGGACTCCGGTGTGTCAGGAGGGGGCCCAATCACCACCCTATGGCTCACCTCCACTTCAGATATCATCCCCACATTGTGCTGAGTCAGGGGCCCCACCACAGGGATCCCTGCTCCCTTTGGGCAGGTGGTCAAAGTGGGATCCCCAAGTGCTAGGTGAGCTCCATCATCTGCCCTTTTGGCTTGGCTGTCCATTCTGGGAGCCCAGATACAGTGCCTGAACAGCTCTCTCTCAGCCCCCTACATCTGTGGTGGCCTCCCTGTGAGCTTCTGTCTCCTCCTGCCCTCCATGTGTTTGGGGTTCATTTGCTGGTCTTTTAGCACTGCCCAGGGACACAGAGATTGCATGAAATGAGTCAGGAGTCACACATGCTCACCTCCACTTGGAGCTGTTGTCCTGAAGCTGCCTGACTTTCTAGGACAATGTTAGATCCTTCTGATGTTACTCCTAGGAAATGCCTCCATTTCCCGTGCCCCCCCCCCCCGCTAGCCATGCTAAAGCCTCACCACTTTGCAGGATCACTGAGAAGTTTTCAAGTCACGTGGAAGCCCACTGGCCATCCTGTCCTCAGCACCCCAGGAAACCTATGGGAAGCCTGATGTTGCCATTTCTTGGCTTCCAAGAGCCAGGTGGCAGTGCTCCATCAGGAGAAACATCTTCCAAGCCCACCAGCTCTAAATCTCACCCACCTAGGCCCCGCTCCTGTTCTCACGCAGTCTAAGGATGGAGCCCTTCACATCCCTGGCCAGCCTTGTCTGCCAGGTCCTTGCTCAGGCTATCCTCATCTCTGGAGCCTTCCTTCACTTATGTCGTCAGCCCTTCCCTGATTCACATTCTTCCTTTAAGATTCAGCCACCGTAGTCATCCTCAGGGAGTCATGGCTGCAGGGAGCTGAGAGTCACATTGTTCTCCTCCTCCCTGGTTGGAACACCAAGATAACATGGCCACCTGCAGAGCTCGGAAATGACTTGGCTAACTTGCCATCTCCTGCTGCTCCCTAGTCCTTGCCAGAATTCTGCAAGACCTGCCTGTTTTAGTGCATCCACATTTCACAAATGGGAAAGTGAGGTTGAGAGAGTCAGTGAGGTCACAGAGGATATAGTTTGGGTGTGAATCATCCCCAATACACCATGCATTCCCAGGGGTTATACAGTATTGTCCTGAAATTGCCTGACCTTCTAAAACACCCCTTGGTTTCTTATGCCTCTGTATTTATTCCTTTTTCCCATACTGAAATAGCTTTAAAAAGTCAAAATGAGTCTAACCTTCAAGGATATGCCATCATTTAATTGGCAAAGTTGTTCTTTATTAATTTGAGATGTATGCCAATGGTTTTTCTGGCAGACCCTGATCAACCAAATATCTGCTTGATTACCTCCAGAGATGGGAAAGTCATTACCTCACTAGTCAGTTACTCTAAATAATAGTCATTGAAGCCAAGCGCTCTAGCATCAAAACACATCCCCCAATTTTTTTTTTGTAATTTTTGAAACAGGGTCAAACCAAAATGCCCCAGTTAGTTTGAACACACTCTGTAGCTTAACCAGCCCTTGAACTTGAGATCCTCCCATCTCAGCCTCCCAAGTAGCTGGAACTACATACAGGCTTGCAGTACAAGCTGGCTTCTCACACCTTTACACTGGATATGACTCTGCTCTCTAGAGCAACCCAGAAAGGCCATTTGTTTTCTCCATGACAGACTCATCTGTCACCTCCAGATCTCTTTAATTATCCTCTGTGAGGTTACTACTTCTCTCATTTGTTTCTCCAAAATATCTATCTACTCTACTTTGGGTCCAATGCTGGAGGCAGGGCTGTGACTCTCTGAGGCACCTTGATTCTTATCAGGGCTTTATCGTGAGCATTTCCTTCCGTGGAATTTATCTCTCCAAGACCTGGAGTCTATAATGCTGCTAATAGAGCCACAAGACATTTGGCTCTTGTTGTAGGCATTGCCAATGAAACCCCTGTTCACTTTCTCACCAGTGAGGGCTCCTAGCTGCTGCATTTGGTCTTATCTGTCCTTACTGTGGGCTTTCTCCAGTAGCCATTAGTCACACAGGTAACACCAAGGCAACCACCAAGAGGAATGCTTTTAAAAAGTCTCTTACAGGTGTCTGGATGGCTTAGTGGTTAAGAGCACTGACTACTCTTCCAGAGGGCCCAGGTTCAATTCCCAGTATCTACATGGCAGCTCACAACTGTTCTTTAACTCTAGTCCCAGGGAAATCCAACTCCCTTTTCTCACCTCTTCAGGAACTACACACACACACATACACAGTGAACACACATATATGCATGCAAAACATCCACATGCATAAGATACACATTTTAAAATCCCCCCAGGCTCACTGATGCCCCTGCCAATGCTCTCCCTTTATGCCCCAGTCTATCGGTTCCTGGAGGACTCCCTCATGCGGCTGTGACAAATACAACGACGCACTGTGCTCTGCTTTTGTCACTGAAAGTCATATCCTAAACATCTTTCTGTATTTCTCAGTAATGTCATTATACTTTTAAATGGCCATGTAAATCCATTAGGCAGAGGTGCCGTAACTTTCCCAGCCATTCCCCAATTGTTGGACGTTTTTACAGTTTCCAATTCTTCATCATTATAAATAATGCTGAGACCAAGACTCTCATGCACAGAACTTTCTTCTGCTGCTGAATTATTTCTGTAGAATTTGTTCCCCAGAGGGAGATTAGTGGGTCAACTGCTAGGAGCACTTTATGACTCTTGATATATGGTTGTCAGGTTATGGTCCCAAAGGACTCATTTGCATCACCACCAGCACCGGGGACAATGTATCCCCCCCCTTTTTTTTTGCAGCTGTCCCAACATTATACCAATCAAAAGTTTGGGGGGTAGTTTAGTTTTACAGGGATACAATGCTATTTTGGCTTCCCCACTCTGGATGTGCTACGGATGACATTTAGTGCCGCTTACATGGTAGGCAAGCACTCTACCAACTGAGGCACATGTCCAGCCTGTGGCTGTTTCAACCAAATGTCTTTGATAACTAACGGGACTTTATGGTTTTTCTCTGTCTTGACTTGTTGGCTTTCTCTCCTCAGCTGCCTTGACAAGAAACTCACCCACGTGAGGACTCGCCCAGCGTTTACTGGGAAGCTGCCATTCACTGAGTGCCCACCCCTGGATGGGCACACACATCTGCTCTTGCAGCATTTAGTACTGACAACAAACCTATGGCATGGACTTCTTGCAGTCATTTGTGGCAAGAGACTCAGAGGAGACTAGTTGACTTGGAGTAAAGTGGAGAAGGGGGCTGTCAGTTTTCTTCCCAGCCTCCAAGCTCCAACCATGGTGCTCTATGAAGCTTCTGGCTATTGGTGAGCTAGGAATGGAGAAGCCAAAGAGAGCCAAAACCCCAGGACTAAGAGCATGGTTTAGGGAACAAAGATATCATATAGGTGGGGGGTTGCCTTGAACATAGAGATGGTCTCCTGGATTGGAATTAAGCAGAGACTACAAGAGTTTGGGGGAGTTGGGAGAGGAGACTTGGCATGCCTAAGGATGAGTGGTGAGAAAGGCTGTCTTTTCCAAGGGCTTGCCAGTAGCCTGTGTGGCTGGAGGAGGAAGGGATGTAAAAGAGGTTGTGCTTGAGGCTTTGACTGACAGCCAGGTAAGGCTCAGAGCAAGGTCGCTGCTCATGTGACTCAGGTTAGTACTGCAACAGTGTGCTCACAATGGAGAGGAGACAAAAGCTACTACCGCTCAGCACTCAGCATGTACTCCATCCACTGAGCCACGTTCTCATGGGGCCAATCTGCCCAAGAGCACTCTGTGCCCAGATTCACAGGGATCCGGGTCAGGAGAGGCATGCACTAGTTACTATTGAGGGTCCCAGCTGTGTGCTAAGGAGTGATGATGGCAGGAGCAACAACAAAAAAAGTAGGTAACAGCCCTTGCCTTTGAAAACCCACAAGGCTGACCAAAGGTTTGACAAAAGAAAAGGATTTTTTTTTCCTACTCCTGAAGCATACCACAACCTGTTGCTGTAGTTTCCTTTGACAGGGAAACTATGAGTCAAACATGAAGTTGAGTGCTTCCCACAGCTTGGCAGCAATGCTCACACCCCCGTGGAAGAAGAGAGGGTCACCCATGTTTCAAGAGAGGATCTGAAAGGTCCAGCATCTTGCTGGAGGACACAGCAGAGACAGGGCATAGTCAACCTAACCTGGATCTCCTTGGAACTATGCAGGTGTGGTTATAGGTACCCCTCGTGGGGCAGAGACAGTTTTAGCCGTATGGTGACTCTATACCCATGCACCAACTATGTACCCTTCCTACACCCCACGGAGAAGGGGGGCTACCACCTCTGCTCTGCATATTTGCTGTGCATAGGAGTCAGGAGAGTCAGCCGAGGCCTCCCAGTTGGTAGGAGCAAAATCTGGGCAGTGAGCCCTAGCTAGCTGAGTCCAGTGTCCCTGTTCTTAGCCCACCCCAGTGTTCTCAGTTCCCAGGCATGGCACTCCACAAAGGGACGAGCTGCTTCTGCAGCTGTGTACCCCGAAGCCTTCTGGGAGGCTGTCTGGGCCAGCAAACCTTATTGAGTGGATGAA